GTTACAGGTCTCAGTAGGACACCACACACACACACACACACACACACACACACACACACACACACACACACACACACAAGCTGAGGGGACCTATGACACTTCCTTTGTCATAGTTACCTGGATATGGCTATGGGAGCAGAGTGGTCTTGACAGCCTCAGAGAAGGACAGTCCTCTAGGCATCATGGCTGCAGGTGAAGGTGCTATTCCTGAGGCAGGACCAACTGAGCCAAGAGAAGGCTGATGGTCAGACCTGTCACACGCACAGGGCTGCTCCAGAGCCATCATTTGTTCTCCTCTCCAGGATGCTGGTGAGCTGGTAATAGAGGGGCCACATGGGGCTTTGTGTTCTTGCCCACCTCACGGTCTCCTTGGAGATGTGTGAACAGACCCATTCCCCGTGTGTGCTTACTCGAAAGAAAACCATTCATGACAACACCTAGCACTTGGGAATGAACTTCAGATTTTCTGTGTTCCTTAAAAAAAAAAAAAAAAAAAGAGTGGCTATTTTTGGAGCACTCCAGATCCTATCTTGGTGATCAGATTTAGATATTATGGCGTGCAAGTAGGGGAATGTGTGAAAATTATTTGTTTTGAAAGACAAATCGAACATCCAGTTTTCCACCCAATAGGTCAATCCTGCAGATGTGTTCTGTCCATTGCCATGAGGTGGATCATTGGGTCTCAGCTCTCCAGAATTACCACATGAGCAACTTCAGACAGGAGGAAGACGAATACTTACTTTCAAGGTCTACACAAAAGCCCCCATGGGAGACGTCTGTGGGAAATGGAAGAGGCTATAGCCTGGCCCAAACATCTAGCATTTTCCATATGCCTCATGGGAATATATGTTTTACAGAAGAGATGAATATTATCTCACAATCTGCCACAACCACCTAATATCTATCACGTTTTGAAATGAATACAATTACTGCATAAATCTAGGCATTGGCAGTTTTCCTCTCTGTCTGGAAATGTGTTTTAATTGAAAGCGTTTGAAGGCTTGAGAGAAAAGGCTCCAGTTATTTTCGTTAGATACTCTAAGTGTGTTTTGGTTACTTGGGGATAAAATAGCTGCTCCTTCAAAGGGGGAAAAAAAACCCAAACAATCCCACAGGCACTTGTGGCAGAAAGATGACCTGGGGCTGCAGTTGCTAGGTTTGTAGAAGGGATGAGTGACAGGGTGGTCCACGTGAGAAGATGCACAGATGCAGATTCCCCTGCCAAAGGGACTTCATTTGCATTTGTGGGGACAGAAGTAATGAGTAGAGAAAAGTCTACAGGCGAGCTTTTCTATTAATAAGATCACAGCCGCACCACGCTGGAAATATCGAAAGGAATATGAACACAATAAATTTCACTTTGGCCACGGCGTTAATTATCTTTCTCGTTTCTATGACCACATACCTGACATGGAGCTGCTTAAAGGAGGGGTAATTATTTTGGTTCACAGTTTGAGGGGGTAACAGTTCATCTCGGTGTGGAAGTCACCCTGGCAGGCAGGGAGGACAGGAAGATCCACCAGGTAGCCAGGGCTCCTTACCCTGTCACATCTCAGGCAGGCAGGAAGCAGTGATGGACTGAACCTCAATGGCCTACCCCAGCAGCCCACTTTCTACACTGCGGCTCCATCTCCTAAGCGTTCTGTAACCTTCCAAAAGAGAACCACCATGCAAGGGATCAAGTACTCAAGCTTGAGCCTGTGAAGGACCTTTCCTGTTTAAACAACAGTAGCCATGGTTTAAGTGAGTAGCTATAGTTCCTCTCTGAGAATTTACCTTTCTGATGGGCTGGCTGTCAAGGATTATCTTGCTCACAGTGACGAAATACAACTTTTAACCACAACTCTAACTTAGATATATCTATTTTCAACCAGCTCAAAACCTAAATTTTTCTTTGAAATTTTCAAATGATATAAGTTGAAAAGCCATAGGACCCACAGTCAGGACAAATCTCTGTCACATACCACTCCCATAGCTGCTCAGACCCAACCAAGTAAACACAGAGACTTATATTGCTTACAAACTGTATGGCCACAGTAGGCTTCTTGCTAACTGTTCTTATATCTTAAATCAACCCATTTCTATAAATCTATACCTTGCCACGTGGCTCGTGGCTTACTGGCATCTTCACATGCTGCTTGTCATGGTGACAGCTGGCAGTGTCTCTCTCCACCTTCCGGTTCTCTCAATTCTTCTCTCTGTTAGTCCCGCCTATACTTCCTGCCTGGCCACTGGCCAATCAATGTTTTATTTATTGACCAGTCAGAGCACACATTTGACAGACCATCCCACAGCAATAGGAACCTTCAGGATATCACTTTTTCTACCAAAAAATATTATATTTGGGACACACAAGTCACTGTCTCTAAGGGGACAGCCATGTTTCAGGAGACATAGGAGCAGCTGCCTGGCCTGCTACAATTTTGCTGGTGCTCACCCTTGAACTCACAGCCCACTGTCCCGTCTCACATTTGGGAAATTGTTAGTGCATATGCCCAGTCACTTTATACTGAAACTATCTTGAAGGGCTGGAGAGGTGGCCCAGTGGTTAAGAGCATGTGTGGCCCTTCTAGAGACCTGAGTGTGGTTCCCAGCACCTCCATTAAGAGTGTTTATGACTCCCTATACTCCAGCTCCAGAAATGTTAAATTCTTTTTCTGGCTTTAGGGTGCCTGCATGCACAGGCATGCTCACGCACGCACAGGCATGCTCACGCACGCACGCACGCACGCATGCACGCGCGCACACACACACACACACACACACACACACACTAAAATAAATCTAAAAAAAGAATAAAAGAAACTATCTTGATTCACAATTGTCTGCACCCATGTGCTCTGTAGAGACATTTGAGGCCATTTCAAAATGAAATAGAAGAGGTAAGGAGAGAGTGGCGTGAGAGGGTTGCTGTGACATTTCTAGAATAATCTGGAGGACAGAGTGAGGGGCCTGGGCCCGGTTCAGACACAGCAAATGTGGACATTGAAGATAAATAGAGGCACACTTGAAAGCTCTGTGGTCTTTCTTTTCTTTTTCTTGTTTCTTTCTCACCTGAGCAAGTATTTTAAAGACTTGATTTATAGCCACAGATGTACTTCCAGAGGAGTGATTTGAAACTTAGTCCAAATATGATTATCAAAACCCAAGGCTGTTTCTGTGAGATCTGAAAGACTTGAGGTTTACCATCAGACAGAACTTGGTAGAGACTCTGGGCTCTGAGTTTTGTCTGGCAAATTTTAGTCGTAGTTCTGCATATTTCTTTCTTCCCATGACTTTAAATTTCTCTAACCATAAAGGAGAAGTTATGAAGTCTACTTTTCAAAGACATTTTGTACTGTGAAATGAAAGAGCACGTAATATATAACATGCTCGTAGGATTATTTTTGGAATGTAATAAAAATAATTCAAAAATATAGCTAGAAGAAAACATGATAGACATTTCTATTATTTGCAGTATTCCGATATATCAAAAATTAATGCCACGATACCAACATTTTTGATACACAGAAAGGCCCTAAAACCTGAGACATTTAAAGGAAGATTTATAATGTAATAAAGGATGCATTGTGAAAAAATGAAAAAGGAAATATTCAACAAGTGGTGTTAACCAAAATTGGCTATTTAAGGCTTAACTTTTAGAGGGAAACTCTGTTCCAAAAAATCCTCAGTAAGCCTTGATAAAGTTAATGATTACAGTAAAGAAAAAAATTTTAAACATGTAAGAAAATTATGTTAACTACTTCAGTTGTAGCAAAATCATAAGGAGACTGATGTATGACCTTGACTGTGTGACTGAAATACTGTGTCCCAAATAATAAGCAAAGCCATCCAGTAAATGAAAGATAAGGAGATCATTAGCCACATGGAATGAAGAAGTTAATATCTTAATGTATAGATACCTGTGCACCTACCATTCCATTGTTTTTTTTAAAAAGTAGGACACATTTACTGAGGAAGAAAATGGAAATTTACCAATGTGTGAAAAAAATCTTTTCAGTATGGAAGAATGGAAATTAAAGTGACAAGCCATTTAGAGATCATCAAGGTGACAAAGTTTCCTGGGTAATGGGGGTAGAGGGTCTGAAGGAGCAGCACCCCCACTCTTGATGGCGGGGTATAAATGCTGTATTCTGGCCATGCTGTCAGGGTATACCAGAGCCCTAAAGAAATTCGAGACTGTGGATCTGGGTTCCATTGCCAAGGTATTCTGACTCTCCCGAGGGCTCCTCCTGAGCTACTCAGTTAGGAGAAACCCTGGGATCTATCCACCAACATGCCACCTCTGAACAAAACACTTTCTGCCAGTGATTATTTCTTAAAAACCCAGACAAAACCAAATAAAAGGCACAATTACATAGTTACAGTTACCATGGAGACCATAATGCCGTGCTTTCTCTTGTCCTGCCATCCACTTGAAGGGCCTGGTATAGAGTGGACAGGCATGCTGCCTACGCTAAGCCTGCTGCTAACACACCCCCAGCTCACACCAGGTGGTATGTTCTGACCATGGTCATAGTGGTGTTCTTCTCCGGGGACCACTCTGCCCAGCAGCCCTGTCAGATCTCCAGGAAACAGCATCCTCTTTGACTACAGCTTTTTTTTCCCCCCACAGGGAGCCATCCTGTGTCTACCCATCCCTAGAAATGGGAGAGTGAAAATTCCTCCCTTCGGGGCCTGGCCATAGGTCAATCTAACAGGTGAATAAATGAGTTTCAGGAAGGTCCAGGTGGTTCAGTGACAATGTCAGGGATGTCAAACAAACTAACTGACTAGCAGGGAGGAGCATACACATTGTGGTACTCACATAGCTGTGTACAGGAGCTCACATTGTTTTCTTCCTGTCTACCTCTGTACACGCTTTGTGGGTGACATCTTTGCCCCACTGTGGGGAGTTATAGGACTGGATACAGAATGAATGTTAACACAAAACTTACTGACCTAATAAGTGTATATTTGTGTTAGATGAACTATCATACATCATCAGAATGTCCTCAAATAATATTTGATAATATTTGGCAATACCAAAAGACAATGCTAGGCTTTAAAAGTAGAACAAAAATTTATATGCATGATATTATTTACATGTCAGAAATGAAATGAAAAATCAGTTCAAACAGAAAGAGCTGTAAGGAAGTATACAAAAACTTCTCAGTAGTCATGGGAGGCAGCTGGAATAGGTGGTGTCATTTTTACTGCAATTGTTAAGATTAAAATAAGGTGGATTACTTTCATAGCCAAGAGAGTTAGATAGTTATGTATGTATAACATGTATTTATCAAGAGGGTTTGAGGGACTAACGTCAGCAGCAGAATCAGGACCAGAACATTATTCTGTGAGCATCTTCTGTAGGAATGCATCTTTTTAAGGTTGAGAACCTTCTACGTCATTTGCCACCTGCCCTGTGATTTCTATTGCTGTGATCAAGAGCAATTTCAGGAGGAAACTGTTTATTTCAACTTATAGTTCCACATCACAATCCATCATCCATCAAAGGAAGTCAGAGCAGGAACTCAAGGCAGGAACCAGAGATGGGAACTGATACAGAGGCCATGGAAGATTACTGCTTACTGACTTGCTCCCCAAGGCTTGCTTACCCTGCTCCCCTATGCACCCAGGACCACCTTCCCAGGGGTGGCACCATCCACAGTGAGGTAGGTATCCCACGTCAATCACTAATTAAGAAAATGCCTCAAAAAATACAGAAACCCACAGCCAGACATTATGCAGAGAATGAGAGACACTGGGACACTCAGCCCTGAACTTGATGTCTCCATCAAATCCCTCCTCTCGGGGATCAGGGGACCCTGTGGAATGAGCAGTCAGAAAGGGGACAAGAGCCAGAGGGGGGATGGAGGACACCAGACGACAGACAGACAGACAGACAGACACAAGGCTCTCTAAATCAACATGATCGATGCACATATGAACTCACATATGGAAACTGAGGCAACAGGCACGGGCTTGCAGAGGTCTGCACCAGGTCCTCTGTGTGAGTGTCATGGCTTCTAGTTCAGTGATTTTATGGGATTCCCCAGTGTGTGGATGAGTGAGTCTTTGTTTCTTACGCCTTTTGTGGGGTTCTTTTCCTTCTGTTTGTTTGTTTATTTTGTTAAATTCTGACGTGTTAGGTTTTTGTTTGTTTGGTTGGTTGGTTGGTTTTTCGAGACAGGGTTTCTCTGTGTAGCTTTGCGCCTTTCCTGGAGCTCACTCTGTAGACCAGGCTGCCCTGGAACTCACAGAGATCCGCCTGGCTCTGCCTCCCGAATGCTGGGATTAAAGGCGTGCGCTGCCACCGCCCGGCTCTGACATGTTAGTTTTTATTTTATCTTGTTATATTTTATTTTATTATATTTTATATTAGTATTATCCCTCAGAAGCCTGTTAGTTTTCTAAATGAGAGGCAGAAAAAGAGTGGATCCAGCTTGGTGGAGTGGGAGGTGGAAGGAACCGGGAAGAGTAGGGGGAGGGGACACTGTGGTCAAGATATATTATGTGAGAAAAAGAATCCATTTTCAATAAAAGGAGAAAAAACAAAGAAAATGCTCTGCATTCTTGCCTAGGCTAATCCTATGGTGACGTTTTCTCAGCTGTAGTCCCCTCTTCTCTGATATGTCTAGGTCTGCATCATGTTGGCAAAAACAACCAACACAATCAGCTGCTTGTCAACTTGACACACAAACACGTCACTATTCAGCTATAACCTTTCCTTTCTCTTTCATCCCCAAGGTCTCAGGTTAATATCAATGTAACAAAAATAAAACAATCTAACTTTATAAGTTCCTCAGTATTTAAAAAACTAAACACTTTGAAAATTCATCCAAAAATCTCTTTCAAAGTTCAAGCCTCTCTAAAATATTCAAAGTCTCTTAAATATCCATAGTTTCTCTAGAATAATGATAATCTCTTTAAAAGTGCAAAGGTTCTCAAATGTGGGCTCCTGTAAAATAAAAAAATTAGTTACATACTTTCTTACTCCAAGAGTGAAGAATCAGGGCATAGTCACAATCAGATCAAAGCAAAACCAAAATTCAACTGTAAAACATTCAGTGTTTGACATGAGACTCACCCACAGTCTCCCGGGCTCCAAAGGACCTCGGAACAGACAATTTCTCTAGCTCTGCCATCTAAAGCTGTACAGCTTGTCTGCCAGGCTCAGCTGGCTCTGCTCCACACAGGCTGCTGTCCTTGGTGGCCACCCAATGACAAAGATGCACTTTACCAACAGTCTCTCTTGTGCTCTCTTTAAGGACTTTAACCCTGCCACTTGGTTCCATGCCTCAACTTCTCTCCATGACCCCTTCAATCCTGGGGCTTCTACTGCAGCTGAGGCTGCATCTTCACAAATGGCCTCTCACAGTGCCTAGCCTCAGATGCCTTCCATGATTTCTCCATTGCTTAAAACCAGTACCACCTGGGGGACTCTTACACATTACCAAGTGTGGCTACCAGCACAAGACACAGCCTTAGCCCTCCTCTGCACCATAGTTCCTCGGGGCTGACCCTGGGAAACATTGCCCAAAATATTTCACCTCGATGATGTTAGTCTCTTCTTAATCACTGCTAATTTCTCCGCTCCAGCTGAGCAGCATCAATTGTCCCAGGAGAGCAAAGGTTTCACTTCAGTGGTGTCTCTTGTTAATCCTGGCTGAGTCTTCAGCCCCTGATGGCCAGAAGTACAGATTCTTGATTCAAAACAAGTCTAATAAAAACCTTACAGGACTCTCAAACTTCCCTCTGAAACTTCACAAGCCCGGCCTCCAGCATCAGCACAGATCTCACCATTCCCGTCTTTGAAGGTCCCTCAGCCCTGAGCACTAAGCACTCAGTGCCTTTCCCAGCCCAAAGTTTACATGCACTACAATCTTCCCCCAGATACGTGGTCAGGTCTGTCAGAGCAATCCCCCACAATGAGGTTCCAGTTTCTGCATTAGTTAGGGTTTTTTAATTGCTGTGATTAAACACCACGAACAGAAGCAGTTTAGGGAGGGAAGGGTTTATTTCAGCTTATGTTTCTACATCACAGTTCATCATAGGATGAAATCGGGGCAGGAACTGAAGGCAAGAACCCCGAGACAGGAACTGAAGCAGAGGCCAAGGAGGTGTGTTGCTTACTGGCTTGCTCCCGATGGCTTGCTCAGCTACCATGGGCTGAGCTGCTATATCAATCACGGATTAGGGAAACGCTTTACAGGTTTGCTTACAGGTCAATCTTCTGGAGGCGTTTTCTCAACTGTGGTTCCCTTTTCTCAGATATGTGTCAGTTTGATCCTAAGCACTGTTGGCTAACTTCACTTTCTTATCTACCTACACGGTTCATAAAAAAAAAAATCTTGGGGATTAGGAGGATTGTTTAGTCAGTAAAGTGCTTGTTGTGAGCAAGGACCGGAGTTTGAGCCTTAGAACAGATGTAAAAAAGCCAGCAGGGTGAAATTGGTCTGTAATCCCGTGCTGGGGGGGCAGACCCAGTGGGTCCCTGAGGCTCTCTGCCCAGCCAGCTTATTTGGAGCACTTTAGGCCAGTGAGAGACCCCATCTCATAGAAATAAAATGATGGCACCTGAGGAACGACATCCGAGCTTGATCTCTGTTCTCCAAATACAGGGGCACACATGCACCAGCACAGGAAGGAACACACACACACACACACACACACACACACACACACACACACACACCTTATTTTCCCTCCAGGTCTATGCTATTCAATAATATTTTTAACATGGAAGCTGTTATGTTTGTGTCTCAACTCAGCTTCTATTGATAATGAATGCTTGGTCCAATGCCAGATCCCATAAAGCAGGCATAAAGAAATTCTTTCTCATCTTCCCAAGTTTGCAATACAGGAAAAAGCACCCATTAGCAGAAGCTGCACATAAAAGCGTGAGCCTCATTTAGGCGCACAATGCTTACATCTCAATTGTCTCTCCTTGGCGTCTTGCTATCCATTATTATTTTTTGAGGCTTTCCGTGGTGGCTCCTTTTTCATCACAAAGGATTACCTATTAACTTTACATAGAACATCCCTCCCCCAAAGCCTCCTGTCCCCAGGAGGCTCTCTTTGCAGGTTTCCTTCCTATCTTTATTGGCAGTCCCTCCATGTTGACCTCTGAGTCGGGGAGGGGTCTGCCATCCTTGTCATTTCTCTTATTTTATTTTTTATTTGTTACATTTGAACTGAAATTTGTCCAAGCGCCAAATAGCTTTGCCAGTTTTTCTGGATTTTAAAATTAATTTCAGCTCGAATCGTTATGTGGACAGAGAAGTGTGGGCTTTCTCTAAGTTGCTGTAGTTTTAGTCATAGTATTTACTGCAGTCACAGGACTGCGGATGGGACAGGCCCCTTACTACAGTGGGAGCCCCAGGAGGGTGGATTTCATCGAGGTGGTGTAACCCCAGGCCCTCATCAGTGCCCATTCACGGGTAGACTATTTCTTATTCTCTTACTGCCCTTTCAGGTCCCTTTTGGTGGTTTGGAGGTATCTGGAATTGTCCATCCTTAATTCCCACTCATCTTCTAAGACACAATGAGGCAGATGAGCAGACTTCTTAGCTATCCTGTGTGCCGGGCAATCCTGTCCTCTCCATGATCCTCATTGGCTCTTCCCTGGTGTTTGCTGTCAGCTTTCCTTTTGTGGGACCTTGAAGGAGGTCCTGTGTAATCCAGCCTGTTGGGTCTGGCAGGGGGCTGGTCCATGATGGTGGTACTAGAAGGGCATCAGATGAATTGACTGGCCTGCTGAATGGTGACCTTCTAGACAGCATTTGCTGGGGAGTGTGGTTCACCTGGCCTCATGATTGCATTGTCCCCTGCCTTCTTGTCTCTCTCCAGTGCCCCTGCTTGCCTCCCCACTTGCTTTGACGTCAGGCTTCCATTTCAGCGGGGAATCGGTTTCTCTCTTAGCCTTACCTGCTGAACCCATTCCTTAGAACTGGTGTAACAAATTTCAGTGA